TAGATAAAGTAGTAGAAAAAGTAGTAGAAAAAAAGTAGTAAGTATCAAGCAACATTGTTTTAGCACGACAACGCTTATTTTGTACAGTTTTTAGCAGTGCTTACAAAAAAGTAGCAGATTAGTGGTGGAATTTAAGCAATAGGAAAATCCAACGGCATGTATTTCTGCAACATTTTTGATATTCTTTATACATATGTTGCTTGCACTTGCTTAAATTTTCGGAAGAAATTGAGAAATTTCCTGAATATTGCAAGCAGAGTTTGCATAATTTCGCATTTAAAAAAAAAAAATAATAAAAAAATACAGCTCATTCCTCCATTAGACGTTGAGTAATGTTATGTTTTTATGAATGTGGGTTAATCATGTAATTTTGTATGTATTTAAAAAGCCTGATATTATTTTTTGTGTTTTATTCTACCATAATTGTTCGATATTTTTCAGTGTTTATTTATTTACATAAAATCCTGTCTACTTAGTAGTAGAGTGTGAGACAAGCGTTCAATCAGCAATTTATTCAGGATTTGTGTTTTCTAGTTTAGGTTGTTGCTGTTTTCTATTTTTAGTGTTTTGTGACAATAGTTGACATATTTATATTATTTACTATTTTTTTTTTGCTTTATGTTTTGTGTGAGTTTAGAATTTTCTTTTTGGTTTAAATTACATAAATAATAGTTAAGTAAGTATGTTTAAGTATTAAGAGCTCATTTGTATCTGCTTTTTGTTTCTGACAATTTTTTGTAGTTTTTTTCTTCATTTAATATTTTTTTGTTGTTTTTTTTGCTGTATTTTACCTTTTAATATCCTAGTAATCATTTATTTAACTATTAACGGCAGTTTATTTCTTAAGGGATTTACATTATTTTTATTAAAAAATAAGTATGTATTTATTTGCAATAATAGTATTTGTTGTTATGTAATACTACATATAGCTTCATGAGCAGAAAAGAGCGAAGCTTCAAGAACTGAACCGAATTTTATGAATTAATTTAAAAAAAAAAAAATTAATTTTAAATAGTTGTTTCTTTAGAAGACTGCTTGTTGATTTCATATTTACAAAGACTGTTTTTTGAATATGCTTTTTAAATACATTAGTTCGATTGGAATGAAGATGTGGAGCATTCGAAATTATCATTTTTAAACTTTCATATACATCTTTCATCTCACCAACATATCGAATCACTTGGCGGCTAAATTCATGAACTAACGGAATACTTCCTACTTCCTTACTTCCAGAATGGTTTGAATAGTTCGATACTCGTTCAGTGCTCAGCTACTCAAATGTTTGTGGGAAATTTGCAAGCTTTTGAGCATTTCGGAAATTTATTTGTTAAAACTACTTTTGCAGTTTGCTGATTCTCACAGTATGCACTCATTTGAAAATATTAAAAAAAATAATGAATTTACTAAATATGTTCGAAAAAGCTCGAAGTGCTCGAACAAAAACCTTGAATTCTATTTTATCAAATTAAAAAAAAATTATATTTTACCTAGAGAAAATATAAATTTGAATCACACCAGATCGAAAATGAGATTTCATCCATTTTATTATTTTGGCTTAATTTCAGACTGCAACTTCTATAGCCTTGCCAAAATATGCGATATTCATGTAAAAGATGCACCCAGATTAGAAAATTCGATTATTTTCAGTTTTACTGATGAATTATTACGAGTTTCAAGAATCCAAAAGTTCTTTATTAAAAAAACTTCTTTGGTAAATTAATTATTTTTTTTAATTATTTTCTGTTCATTGTTAAAAGGATTAATCAATCTTAAATGAGAAGTTCAAGTTTATTTGAATTTAAAAAATATTACGTAATGTGAGTTTATTGGAACTAGTTGAATGGAGTCAGCTTTAAGATCCCAAATAATTGAATAATATTCTAGGCCAAAAACTCTGTAACCGATTAATGTTATATTCGTTATGAGCTGTTGCAGACTTTTTCAGAAAATGTCTTTAACAGAAAAGATTATACCTCGTTTGGATATTGATTTCAGCTGCATAGAGAGGAACTGCCATATACGAAATGCTAGTAAAGGAATACTTTCATAGACATATCGAGTGGTGGACAGAAATTGACCTATCGCAAATCTAGGTAAACTTAATCGAAATGTGACCAGAGCAACGATGCTCAAAAAACGAAATTATATCATTTCGTTGTGTTAACTTTTCTTCTTAGCGAAATCGTTTCGTTGCGGCGCTATGTTATCGAAATGAAATGAAATCAGTAACTTTGAAACAGCATAAATTAATCGTTAACGTTAATTTTAAAAGGTTTAACATTATTTGTTAACGATTTAACATAACGATGTAGTGTTGGACCAGAGTATGATGGAATGATTAATCCTCTATGAAAAGGGAGGGCACCTCAAAGTTAATTGGTATCCGGAGAAAATATTGGCGAGAAGTACTAGGGGCCACTTTCAAAAGACGCTGCAGTAGCTGCACGAAATGACCACAAAGAATAAAAGATTTTTCAGCGGTTACGCCCTGCTCTAATCGATATTTTGGAGTCATATTTTTGTATATACTTTGTCGTGTGGCAGACATTAAAGAAGCCGATAAAATAAGGTTCAAAAAGTAGTACAAATGAATTGGAAAGGAGTCATGCTTGTTTATCCACCACTCCACCAACTTAAGCTAAAATTCGATTACCTGTAAGCCAATGAGATAAGATAGCCTTGATACTAAAACAGCTGAGCAGAGCCGAATGACAAAGAACTGGTGAAGCTAAATCCGCGGCTAAATGATATGAGCCAACAGGCTAAGCTGGGCCTGCAATGAAAAGCATTATGGCGGCTCCGCAGGATCTTCCACCATGACTAAACAATGCGAAGCTCAGAGTTTTGATCAATACATAGCCATACTGTTACGCAAGTACACTTGAGGCTCGGGTCATACGAAATTCATTGGATCGCGCTGGCGAGGTTGTCACTATAGTATGTTCCAGGCTAACTGACTCTGTTCAAATGCTGTCTCCGACGCTGTAGACCCTAAAAACCATCCAAAAGGAGTAGAAATCTGCAGAATCTTTACATGGGGGCATGTAAAAAGGCGGTTAGTGTTCCGCAGATACTCTCTAGATCCAGTACATACGTTGGGTATGTTGGATTCGAGTATGGATATGTAGGAGTTCAACCTGCTACAGTAACCAGACCTAGGAAGCGCCAGTGTCACACGAGTCTCACGAGGCAGCTTGCGCTCTTCATCTGGTATGGGTGGGGTTTTAACTCCTAGTACGCCATTCACGGGAAGGGAATTTTTCAAACTGTTTATTGGCTGGTGAATAGCGTTCACTGCCAGTCTATACGTCCTTTTGTTCAGCGATTGTTGAATGTGTCGCTGTATGATGGCCCCCATATCTAGTACTCCCTTTCTGCCTACGTGAAGGTTAAGCTTCAATAAGATGCCTTTAGGGGTATTCACTTGGGTAGAATGCCAATAGGAGTTTGTTCCTGCTCACTGTGCAAATGATGCTTCGGCGACATCATGGGTTTTCCTGTTACGGTCATGAGGGTGGGGTTCTGGCAAGCCTATAGCTTCTTCGTTTGCGTCGCGTTCATCCCCGGCGCCCAGATCGGTGCAGCATAGCTAACGGAAGATGTTGAAACGCAACCTTAACATATTGAGTATAAAAGGAGTAATGAACAGAGTGTGGAATTTAAAGTAACCAGCCGACCTGGCTCACAAAGAATTATAAGAGAATATTTGGCCCAAATAAAGCTATGTAAATTTTACAAATTTTTTTTGCACTGGTCCAAGAGTTTATTTCCCATGAAAATGATATTTTTTATAATAAAACTTCTCAATAAAATTATTTTAATCTTTTATTTGACTTCAAAAAATAATTTTCGTGCTCTGAAAATTTGCATTTTTCATATGAGTTTGTAAGCTAAGTGTAAATATATAAAATATACAAAATATTAAGCCCATTTGCGCCCTAGGGCTGGCTGAAGAGGCATTGAAAAAAACGTATAAGTTTTATTTTTTAACCCATAAGATTATAAATATACAAATTAGTCACTTTTTGGCTGCCACAGGGTTAATTATATATTAAATTAAAATTAAAAATTATTAAAATTATAAAAAAGATAAAATTTTATTTGAGTGCTGAAATCTATTAAAAAACTTTGTTTTTAATTTTATTAAAAGATGCTCTTTAGCGAAATCAATGTTCACTGCGCTAAAGATTTGCAGACAGAGACAAACATTAGTCGAGTGCAATATTTGAATTTTTAAACCTTTTAAAATTTTTTTTTTCTAATCCGCATTAAAGTATTAAAGGCCTGCCAAGTGATCCAAATGCTGCTCTTTTACTTTTTATTTATATCTTTCTATTTGTTCTTATGATTATTATTTTTTTTATTTTTTTTTTTTGTGAAACAGTTAGATGTTTTTGTTTTTGTTGTGTTCATGTATTTAAGAATGCCTGTATTTGTGTCTGAGCTTTCTTACTTCCTTACATATAATAATATTTAACATTTTTTTTGCTCACTTTAGCAGTCTTCTTCATGTTATTTATTTAGTGTTTTTAATTTTCAACAAATTTTATATGCATTTTTTCCTCAACTATTACGCCCAGTCGCTACTAAGCAATTTCCTATGGTTTTTTTTTAATACGCCATTTTTGTATTGAACTCTGTCTTGCACATACGAAGCTGCATAACTAGCCGGAGTCTAACGGCTTAGACTTTAGCATATCTCTATTTGTCGCCGCGTGTTTCTTATTTATTGGTATGTATGCATGTTTGTGTGTATGTATTTATGTAATTAGTTTTGTTTACATTTTTCTGATATTTTCGATGTTTTTTTTTGCAGTTTTTTTTTGTTGGAATTTTTACTCTTTGGAGTTTAGTTTTGAGTTTTGTTTCATTCTTTTTCCATATTATTGTGTCATTATTATTATTATTATTATTGTGTTTTACTATTATTATTATTTATTAGCTTGTTTGAATTTTGTAATATGTTTTTGTTTTTTTTTTTTTTGTGTTTTTGTTTTGGTTCCAGTTTTTGAATTAATTTAATTATTTGTCTACTTAAATATAATTAAACAGCTTTTGTAGTCGTTTCTGGCATCCAACGTAACATTTCACAAGGCCAAATTAGCGCACGTATCGTCTTTTTAACTGAGTGTTCGCGGCAAAATAGGAAGAAATGGCAAGTTGGAAAAGAACAAACAAACAAATTTGTTTTTGTTTTAATTCTTAAGCAGCTTAAGCATGCAGAATGTATGTTTGAAAAAAATCCATAAATTGAATCAATTATTATTTTCAAGAAATATTGCATTTATAAATAACGGTAAAATTTCTAAACAACAATTAGTGCGGGAACTTAGAAAATCAAATCAAATTATATATTATAAAAAATTTATAATCATAAAAGTTCCGGAGTTTTTTTTCTGCATTCTGTATTGTATTTATTTTATTTTTTTATATTTTTTTGCAGAGTGAGAGCGTGCAAAAGCAACAAACAAGCAAAAGTCAGAAAAGTAAAATTATAAAAAAATAATAATATATAAATATTTGTCTAGTGTCAAAGAGCTAACAAGTACGTACTGCTATTTAGCTTTTACCTCTTTGCTAAGAAGAAAAAATGTGGTAAAAAACAAAAAAAAAATATATATATACCGGACTGTGAAAACCTATTTTCAAGCTCAAGTTACATGGAGAAATTCACACAGAGCACGATTTTCGGCATGACCTACAATAGTATAATCAAGGCTGCATAAACTCCAGAGGGTCAACGAGAGGACTCTCATCACCGCGTGTTCAGCTTGCATTGAGAAATAATCAAAAAATATATTTGCGAAAGGTATTTGTATGACGACCACGAAAAATACTTTCATATAGTGAAAAGCACATCAGATATAACGCACCCGTAAGAAAAGAAATTCACAGAACGTTTCGAAATCGGATTGAATTCTTCTGGAAGCCACGAGTAGTGACTTGGAGTATATTAAATTTATGAAAAAAAAACTTTTCTAATGACAGTTAAAGTAGCGGAGATGAAATTTTATAAAGTTTACCGCTAGTAAAGTCTTCTATGAACGCGTTGGTAAAACAAACAGAAGGTGACATGATGACCCTCTCTTCTCAATGGGAAGAGTTTAACTCTCACTCTCTCTCCTCAATAAGAAGATTTTAACTCTCACTCTCTCTCCTCAATGGGAAGAGGAGTTCAACTATAAAACTAAGTTATTCTCGACCAAAAAACTAAATTTTAGGTCGATGAAAACAGCGTTGCTTTTTTGAGCTGGAGAGCGATGGATAAACACTAGCGAAGTTGTTAGGACGTGCGAAGATAATTATTAATGGTTCGATGTCGGGACAGTCGAGAGTTGGGCTTCATCCACGAATACACCGCCTTCATACATAAATCATTGCGTTATCGCATTGGATTTTAAAACGAGCTTCATCACATTCATCTCTCAAAGGATGAAAAGGTTGTGATGCCTGGCAATACTTCACATATGGGACCAGCAGACCTGTAATTGATGTAGGGGTTTTCCAGCAAAAACTCAATATCTAGCCACTGCACTTGGTGGTATATCAGTCGGCAGCAACGAAGTGAATCAAATCCCTCGGTAATATTGGATAAATTTGATTTCATACCAAATTATACAATTATGTTTACTGATAACTACTTCAGAACACGAATTCCCAGCAGAGGAAAATGGGTAGATAATCACCATACTCCCAAGTGACAGCCTCTGCATAAGATGGCTAAACAGAACAGGCCGTGGGAAATCGTTGGGAGACTGTAGAGTGAATGAACTTGATAGGCGGGGTACGAACAAGCAAATTTTGTTTGATAAAGAATGCATTCGTATGCCTTTTGTCGCTTGCAAACTGCTTCTCAGGGATAAAGAAGCCGCATAAATATGGAATGATTCTACAACCTGCCGCAAAACCAGACACATGTGGCTGAGATGGGATAAGAAAAGTTCAGTAGATGTGCAATCCTTAAAAGAAGCGGACATGTCCGAACTAATAAGAGTTTTGACAGGCCACGGTTTGATAGGACGACATGCGGAAAGACTAGGGTCTCCCTACATAAGATGCTGCAGAAAGAGCATCGATCACCCATCTCTTATGCGATTATGCTACTTTGAGCGGGAAAAATCGTAAGTTTGGGATGTTCCATTCAAGATAGCCGATATCGGAGTTGTGGGTCTTATGAGATACATTGGAGTATCAACATGGCTGTATAATAAAACCTTTAGGTCAAGTTTTTGTGTCACCACAATGGGTCTTTCTCAGGCCTAAGTGAATCCGACACGATACATAGATCGGTTGCCACCACAACCACACCTAAACTAAGGATATTAACATCTTTTACAACAGCCAAGCTGCTAAAATGACTTAAGTGAGCTCAAGACTAGTTGAAGAAAGCTAACAAAACTAATTTGGGTGCCGGCGCAGAGTAGCATCGCTGGTAACTGCAACGCTCTTGGGCTTGCGAGCATGCGGTTACCCATGAGTCGATATCACCAGGCAGTATGTAGGTTAGAGTGACTGATTTTCTTTGAATTCTTTCATAGTCAGGTTGAAAAGCCGCAGGCTGAGTAGAGAGTTGAAATGATTTCAGCATTTTCCTTTTACTTTTTGCTTAATAAAAACTCAAGCAACGTTATCGGAGGGAAATTATAAGACAAGCGAAGCATTTTGAAATGAGAAATTCCTTTACTACAAGGATTACAAAACTTAAACAATGGCCATATGTATATTTGAAAAACACTTTTGATTCTGAAATGTTTTTTTCCAAAATTATTAAATTTTTAATATTTTTTTTTTGTTAAGTTTAGTAGCGGAGGGTTATTACTTGCAGGCACTGTATGTTCGTATTCATTCGATTATGCTCGTTTTGTACGTATGCTTTAGTAAATATGTATGTTTGTAAGTTACGTTATTACAACAACGATTAAAACAGTAATACAATCAACAAAAGTATTTAGTTATGCAATTACAGGTACAAAGATACTCAAAACTATACAGTTATATTATTACAAAGTGGAATGCGGTTTTGGGTATACAATAACAAAAAAAAAAATCAAAAAACCCTAAATCACATTAATGCTTAACACAGAGACTAGAGTCATGTAAGTAGTTACATATGTACATATATATCGGACTCACCCAGTAGTCAAACGTCGGTTTCGATACTAACGGCCAGGGCATTATTATGCCTAAGCGTTGTTGTTGTTGTGGTTAGGTTATTACCACTAGTGACGCTTGTAGCGGATTGCTTATAACCATTTTGTTGTTGCTGTTGCTGCTGCTGCTGCTGCTGTAGCAGTTGCAACGTTTGTGGCTGTTGTTGCGACTGCGACTGCGACGGCTGTTGCGGCGACGCGTGTTGTAGTGACGCTTGCTGCTGCTGCTGTTGTTGCTGTTGTAGCTGCTGCTGCTGTTGCTTCTCGATCAATTGTTGTTGTGCTCCTAAAAATGGAGCCACCGCACGACCAGGATGCATTTCACTCAATCCTGGCGTTGATTCAACACCATCATCCAAATCCATCATATCCGATGAGGATTCAGATAACGATGATTTCTTTAAATGTTGACCTACTTGTGAATGTACGATCAGGGGGCAATTTGATAGTGCGGAGAAGCGGGCATATAGTGTAGGAGATATGAAATGGATGAGGGTAAATATGGCGAAGGATATTATGGAGATGGGTTTTTAAACGACGGCATAAGGACGGTGAAGGGTTGTTAGTGATGGGAGTGGTGAGTTAAGAGAGAGAAGAAGGAAATATGTTGAAAATTAACCAGAAAATTTTGTAAACATTTCGCAAAAAAAAGTTTCAGACCACAATCTAACCCGCAGTAGATGCGCAAATGTGTGTGTGTGTACGCAGTAGTAATATGTTGTTTCATTTATAACTATTATGAATTTTCATTCTAATTTCAACAAAATATTAAAAAAAAAAATTGACAGAAAATAAAGAAATGAAATAAGAAAAATTACATAAAATATAATAAAATAAAGAAACAAAAAAATATAATAACACAAAATGAAATAAAATTAGATAAATTAAAATTAAAACAACAAAAAAGGAATAAGAATAAAAAAAGAAATGAGATAACAATGAAAATAAGTAAATAAATATAAACCAATAAAATAATTTCAAAAGAAAAATTAATTATTTGATTATAATAATTTAATAAATTAAAATATAATAAAATATATAAATCAAAAAAAAATAAAATAAAATAAAAAAAAAAAATAAAATAAAATAAAATAAAATAAAATAAAATAAAATAAAATAAAATAAAATAAAGTAAAATAAAATAAAATAAAATAAAATAAAATGAAATAATTAAATTAAAATAAATAAAAATAAAAAAATGAATAAAATGTAACATATTAAACTATATCTTTTTATAGTTTGCATCATCAAGCTTTTATTTTGATATTGATACTTGGATTCTAAGATATATCACTGAAACTAATATTTGTTCCGGTATTATATATACAAGGTAATCATGAGGGCTCCAGAAATATCTTTTTCACTTTAGGTAGAACAAAATAATTTTCAGTTTGCTATTTATAAGAAAAAAGTACAGATTGATTTTTTCACAAATTATATGATTTTAGCATTCACTGTATGACTGGAGGAAGCAGCTTATTCGCTACTCCTAATATTGAGTTACCGATTTTTGACCACTTACAAATATTTGAAATCGAAGAACATCTCCGTAGAGTAAACTGGTATTTGGATCTCTTAACTGTTTGTTAAAATTAGATTTTTTATTTTTTTAAGATTTTACACTACCTATTTTTATAAGTTTTAATGAAAGGTCAAAGATGATCTGTATGTTTGTTGGGAAAATTATTATTTTTTTACGCTAACATACACACACACGTAAAGGCTCCTTAAATTCTTATATATAAACATAACAATAATTTGAATAAAATATGCCTTTTGACCAAAAAGTACTTACCTAATGTACCTGGTAAATATGGACAACTTGTAACGTGATTAAAGTTTTGGCTCTGCATCTCCTCTTGATCCGTTTCGCGGTGATAGAAGTAATTGAAATTACTGACAATAACTGGTACCGGGAGAGCGATTGTCAAGACACCAGCAATGGCACACAGTGATCCCACGATTTTACCCCAAACACCGACGGGTCTGTTGTTTCAAATCAATAATATTTTTAGTTTTTTTTTTACATATTATTTTCATTCAACATTTTTTTGTCACGTTTTCGTAGAAGATTATCATTTTTTTTTTGTAAATTGCAAAAAATTTATTTTGCCATATGCATTTTGTATATATATTTTTATATTTTTCGATTTTTTTTTTGCGCAGTGTAGTTGATTTGCGAGACCATTCATTCATTCATTCACATATGATTGATTAACGTGCGAAAAATATCGATTTTGGTCGATTATAAACGATTTTTGATTTCGATTACATTTAATAATTTGGTAATTTTTGGTATTAAATTTTTTGTTTGTTTTTCAATTTGTATTGATTTGGTTATCGATTTTGTTTTTGTTTTGATTATTGATTTTAGATTTTCGCATTGGGATGAAGTACGATGTGTAACGAACGAGAACGAACGATAATAAAATGAAAATACAAATATATAAAAATATAAAGTAAAATTTCTGAAACTGTTTGTTTGTCATAAGTAACTATAAAAAGACAATATATCGATATCGATATATAGCATATAATGAATTTTTTATTTATTTATTTATTTTTTTTGAATACATTAAACATATAAAATTGAAATGAAATAAAGTTTAGTCACAAATAACGGAATGTACTACACTGAGAGTTTTTTTTTAGGGTTTCTTTTTGCAAGAACGAAGAGTAGAAATGTTGAAAGCGATTTGATTAAGTCAAAAGTAGTGAAAAGAGAAAATTTAGATTATATTTTTTTGTGTGTTTGTATGAAAAACAAACTCGATGTGTATGAAGAGTGTATATACAGATGGTATGGGTTAGAAGAGGCGCTATATATATTTATATATATATATTTCCTTTTATACAGTAGCAAGGAAAAGGTGTGAGAGATGAAAGCGAAAGAGTAGCTATAGAGAGTGTTTAGCGTATTAATGCTTAATGTTAAAATGTGTGGTTATGTTTTTTTTTTTTATATATGTATGAGTTTCTCTAGAAATGGTGCTTTTGAATATTTATTTTAATTAAATTGAAATTCTTTTTTTGTAAATTATAATTCTTTAAATTATTACACATGCTTTATGAGTAGAATATTTGTGTATTTAATATGCTGGTACGTATGTATGTATGTATGAGGTTAGATTTACCTTTAAAGTGAAAACTATGATTTTGAACTTGAAATGATGAGAAAGGTTTAAATAAAATGGCAAGAACGTGAACGTAACCAAAGAATCTGATTTCCAAAATTGAAAAAATAAAATCGAATTCTCAGGATTCGTGGTGGTGTAGCGGATCTGCCTTGCGAGCTTGGGCCTATTTTCCCCTTAGTATACGAAGACTCAATTTGATTCTTTTGGTGCCAAACTAAATGAAGTGCGTTAAGCTAAGATGACCTAATATCTATCATAAAATCACTGGATTTGATTAATCAGATGCTTCTACCCAGAACTTCAACTCCGAGCATGAGGAGCTTCGAATGTTTACCTAAACCTCACTCTCCCCATGGTCTGAAATATTTTAGAAAATAACTGTGACAAGGTTCTGTACGCGTTGAAGGTTATTTTTCTCAAGAAGAGATATCATTTGCTATCACTAAACTCTCTAACTCTGAATAGTATCAAGCTAAGTCTGGTAACTAAAGCAAAATTTCGATTCGTAATTCCGGACTGAATTAAAAATCGAATATAGTCAAAAATATGAGTAGGCCTACATAGTTCTCTATTCCGATTTGTGGTGAGTACTCTGATTTTTTCCAACAAAAAGTTTTTGTTGAGGGCTAGAGTCCAAGTCTAAAAACCTATTTTGGCAAACGGCAGCTGTTTACCGCCTAAATGAGTTAACTCAGTGGACTACTCAACTTCGGAGGCACTCGAAAGCCCTCGTAACACTTTTCTGCTCAGTTTTGTAAGCAGAATCAACTATTTGTAGTAAGAGGGAAAAAACGAGGGGCTCAATCCTCCAAAAATCAAAACCCGTTGGAAGAAGTTACCACTGTTTGGACGCCTGAAAATCCTCAAACCAATTCTGCTCAAGCTTGGCTACCAGCAACAACTTTTTCCGAAAAGGAAGAACAAAACGTTGTTTTTGCCATTACAGTTGATGGTATTGGCTGGTATAAGGTTGGATCCAAGCTCGATGGTAGAGTTAGTGTTGATATTTTATCAGGAAAGCCATCTTTTGAGTCCTTCTTCGCGACTTCTGTTCATTTATTTACAGAGTTGCTGGGCTGACGAAATTACCACTCTAAACGTACCAAATATATTCACTCCTATTAAGAATGCATTTGCTTTATACAAAAATGTTCTTCAAGAACTATCAAATGGTCGCACCAGGATAGATTTTCTTGACTTTCAGTAGATCTAGCTAGCCGAAATGGATGCGGAAGATATCACGTGAGGTGTGTTGCCTTAAGAGAGTGGACATTTTTAAAGTAGTACTAGGCTGTCTGATGACCCAACATCAGTTAATATTGGGAGTCCATTTAGAAGGTGCTGCAGAAATTATAAGAGAATGAACAAATGACATTTCTACTCGTTGGTTGGTTGAAGTGCGAGGTTGAGAACAGTGTGAGCCTGAGTGAGTAGATAGAATAACTTAATGATGGGATCTGTATTGTAGTTATGAAATAAAATTTTGAAAAAATTACGTTAGAGAGAATTTTTAAAAATTAAATATAAAATTATTCGTCATAATCGGGGTTTCGATCCGACTTGAAATCGAAATAAAATTTGAATTTCATTCAATACCAAATCGAGATCAAGTCTGAATGAAAACATTTTTATTTTTTTTTTATAATAAATTTAATTTTCCCACGGAATTTGACTGTACATCAAAATTGTTTATGAATAAAATGCTTAAATATTTACGGCACATACATATTAATGTACATATATACATGAAAACATATAAAACATTTAGACATAAAATATAAAATAAATATATAACAGTTGAAATAAATTAGTAAAAATTTTATAACAAACAAACAAAAAAAGAAAAAAAAATTATAAAAAAAAATAAATAATCTCAAGTAATTATAGAAAAATTAAATTAAAAATATATATATAATTTGAATTTTTATTTGTTAGAAAGAGTTGCCAGATTTTAGTTTCAATAAAGCATAAACAATCTTAAGGCATGCTGACATGCACAGAGCAAAAATTATTTTGAAATTTATTGTATAAATAAATAAAGTTCATTCAAAATGCAGTAATGCAAAATGAAAAAAGAAAACAAATTGCTTTACGTGTTTTCGAGTAAGGTTTTTCGCTTTAGATGGTTTGAAGCTCCGCTAGTTTGGTTTGAGTATTAGGACATTTTTCAAAAACCTACTCTATAGGCTGGTGGGAATGAGGATTTCATTAACAAAAAAATATACGAAATGTTTATGAAATTCATAAATATTTTGAGTGATCTCAAATTATGTACTTTGAACAATTTTTTTATTAAATTATTTTTAATTCCATTTTAATTTTTTTTATGTGTAATTAATCAGTGATTAATATCGAAAATTCATTCATTCTGTCTGGAAAACTTTATAAATTCTTGAATTTATTTTTTTAAAAAGCAGATGAAATCTGTTATTATTTTCTAGAACCACACCAAAATGTTAAGATCTACCAAATTTTACGATGTTGAATTTACCATTCTATAAAATATCTGTCTGAATATATAAATTTAATCAGAAATTGAAATTTTCTTTAAAATGATTTTTTGAAGAAAAAAAATTGAATGGATAGATCAATTGCAGAACCAACTCAGAAATAATTTGTTTTCCTCAAGAAATTTCATCCTTAATGGCTAAACTGAGGAAGCCAAAATGGGGAGAGACGTAAGAAAACTCAATTAGTTATTTAGAAAAATTTTACTGAAAAGTTCCCTTTCAGAACAGAAATGGTTATAGTTTTCTAATTTCACTAGAATTATTAGAGAAGCTGAAGCATTTCTTTTTAGCCTGATTATTAATTATTGTTATAGCATTAATTATAGCATTCCATGATTGGAAAAAATATCTTCAGCCTAACGAATAGTTTAAAGTAGAACTATATCGGTAAGAAGCCCAAAGAAAAAAATTCTACTATAAAATCAGCTGTTATTTTATAGCAAGATATATTTTTTTGAAAATTAAAATAACGAGAACTTGAGCACTCCAAATCATTTAGTAACCCTATAATTTTCCCACTTTTGATAGTTGGAATAAGGAGAATTGTAGCACTAAATTTTCCGAGACCGCATGTCTGCTATAAAAGCGCCTATAATTTTGATAGTAAGCCTAAAATATTATTTTTTAATATTGGAATAGGGAGATTTTAAATACGCTTAATCATTTGGTGACCCAATTAAAATGGATATCCACTGTAAAAACAGCTATAATATGTTATTGGAAATATTGAAATTTTATTTTTGAACAACAGAATAACGAGATTTAGCTATAATATTATATAGCAAATTTTCTAATTATATTTTACAGAAATTTATTGAACAAATCACTATCCTAACGAAATATGTACGGAGCATTATATTATATAAGGAATGAAAAGGTCAGGTTACGCACGCGTTTGTGTGTGTCTGTATGTAAAAGCAAAAGCGAATCAAGCGAATGCAGAGTGATAATGCAGAAGAGTATAAAAGAAACGATAAGGAACGAACCAACGAACGAACAAGTGCAGTGTTCTTCGGGTGCACACCTGGCTGCTTATATATATATATATGTATTTTGTATATGTAAAATGGATATGTGTGTTCAATGCATTCGCGTACGAGTACAAACAGGAATTTTTATGTAGTTTTAAGAGCGTGAGCGCGAGAGAGAGAGGTGGTGTCGCGTGGATGGCAAAATATAATTGAATGAAATCATGGAAGTTTATCGAATACTGTGAATAAAAAAACGAGACGATTTTGATGCAATTGGGTGAGTGTCGTGTCAGTTGGAAAATTGTTTGTATGCTTGTATGAAAAAAAATGGCTGATAATGGAGGTACAATGTACACATAACTATATATGAAAGTGTAAGGTATGGAAATAAGTATGTATGTATGCAAAATGTTTAGTTATGTTTTCGAGTATGCAAATCTCGAAATTGATCTTTGAATACTTTGCGATTGTGATGCAAATGAATTTGAATGCAAAAACTACCTTTTTTTTGAAAATCGTTATGGGATGCGCTAGTAATTTCTTTTCGGTATGAAATACTTAAACCAAAATAAATATTTTACCTATAAAGCGTTTTTAAATAATCGCAAGTATTTGCAGTCAAAGGAAAATAAATAAATACGAACTAAGCTTTAGATGAATGAGTGGGCGGTCGTGAGGAAAGAAACGCTGCGGCAAAATCATTTTCGCAAGGAAATCGCGAAAGCAATAAAATTTTGAAAATTAAATATGTGTGTACATTAGATTAAATTTTTTTTCTTTTTTTTTTTTAAACTATTTTCTTATATTTTCATTTTGGCGCACCATTTCATTTCCCCATTAAGCTAAATAAAATTTGTATATTTTCAATTCATGAATATAAAACAAAAAATTTATATCTAATTAAGTATGTTTATGATCAGCAAATGAACTTATGCCAAAAAACGTTATTTAATGGAAAAAAGTAGTTAAATAGTAACAAGTGAAAAATATTTATTAATTAATAGTAGATTTTGCATACGTCATGTCACCATATCCAACGGTTGTCATGGTAACGACAGCCCACCAAAATGCATCGGGTATGGACTTGAAGAAGGAATTTTCGCTTCCAGCTTCCGCAAAATAAACCGCCGATGAGAAGAGTACAACGCCTAAAATCAAACAAATCTATTGGTTTCTTCGCTATACGCTTGTTATTGATATTTTTGAGAGACAAAAAAAAAATGTTGATGGTTTGTTTTTGTTTTTTTTTTTTGGTTTTTTTTTTTTTTTGGTTGACGGAGGATTTAAGGAGTAGATAGGCAGGTGAAGATGAAATGGAGTTGGAAAAAAATATGTTTCGGGTTTTGGGAAGGCGAGGAAAGGCAATGAATATGCGCTAGCGGATGTGAAGCGTGAACACAGGGAAATTATGCCGAGATATAGGGTATGATGATAGTTAATTTTCTTTTTTTCACAGTATGGGTTAGGTTAATCGAATGCAATTAGAAATGGTAATGTGGTAAGTGGTAATCGGATAACATGGTAGATGTTTAGTAGTAAGTGGTACCGTGTTGATGGTATTTTTATTAGTTTTTTTATTAGTGGTGGTAATTTTTGTACTGTTAGTGGCGTTGATGGCATTTTTCGTGTGGAAATTTGTTAGTAATGTTAGCACGTTAGCATATATGATTAAATTAGTCTTTTTTCTGAAGGGTTTCTCTTTTTCTGTTACCTATTAGACACTTAAAAAAGAATTAAAAAAAAAAACCCACAGAAAAGTTGTGGCGTTAGTGGCACTACTTACTCATTTTACTTTTTTACTCTTTTATTTTTTTATTTTTATTTTTTTATTTTTATTTTTTTTTTGGTTTCAGATATCTTGATATGTTTTTTTACGGTATGCAGTAAGACTTGAATGCAGTTATGGTTTCTAAATAAAACTAACAGAACCGTCTGATTTATATTTTTATCCCAAGCAGAGTTTAATGTAAATATATTTGGTTGAAAATCTTATTTATAACGCAGTTCTGCAGCTAAAACTTAACTGAAGAAAATTAAAAATTATCTAATTTTCAAATTAACTAAATTTTACTATTTAGAATTAAATTTGAACTGATCGTTTAACAAAAATAAATTTATTCAATATGTTTGACTTTAAATAGCTTTGATTTATTGTTGACATGACAGTGATGGTAATGTCCTTCAACACAGTAAAAATTATATGAAATGTTTACATTTTAAATATTTATCTTGTTTTTTTCTACGTTGTGTTATTCAAAAATAGAAACTAATTTAACATCCTTTCCCATTTGGAGATATTTCAACATCGCATTTGCCTGGGTATATGAAATATGGTGATACGTTAAAACGCGTAGCTTTTTTTCACTGCGATCGAATCTGTATTTTTATGCGAAATAAATTAATAGAAAATGTATGAATATTCCGCTTGGGAAACAAGTTCACGCATGCAAAAAAAAAATATTAATAAAATAAAATTAAAAAAATATAAACGGAATGACGTAAAAAAATTACATAGCAGATTTTATAAATAATAACTTTTTTTTAAGTAAAATTATAATAAAATAATAAAATTATAAATTAAGTAGATATAAGTGGAAATTAATTCAGCCTAAATCAATTCATTAGCACAAATTATTCACGAACACAACACTCATACGCTCACACGCACACAACGCTTTATATTGTACAATTTATTACTTGAACACATACATACATTTCTGTTATAATAAATTAATTATTTTACAATTATTTTACGCACAAACGAAAATTAACCGAAGTATTCACATTTAATAATAACTGTTGGCACAACGAAAGGTCAATGTGGGTAGCCACAGCGTGATCCATATGCATCACAATCAAATGGTGACACAGAGGCACAGAAATTAATTGCATATTTATATATATATATTTGTATTTAAACTTAATTATTTTCGAATTAAGGTTTTAGTTAGTTTTTGCGAAAAATATAAATAAATTAAATGGTACACAAGTAGATATAATAGAAGTAGCTTAGAAAAAGAAAGTTTGAAATGACAGTAATAGCTGCAGTAAAAGTACAGACCCTTCACATTAAAGTAGCATGACGTTATGCAAACATTTTTACAAGTTAAATTATATTTATATTTATATAAATTTCAATAAATATCAGGGATGGTAAGCATTTTGCTTTTTATCTTAAAACATTTGAAAATTAGCATTTTTGAACTAAGCTTTTGTAGTGTTCGAAAAGGTGTCAATAAATGTTTAAAAATTTTGAGGTAATGAAAAAGTTTCAATTGGTTTATTAATATAATTGTAAGTATGTACGCTGCTTTTTTGAATTTATATAGAAACTTAAACAAAATAAAAAAAAAATGTTAGGAAAATATAAAGCTTAAATTGCTTAAACTTTTTAAAATTTACTTATTTCCATCCCTGATATTTTTTTTAGTATTCATTTAGTAAATTTTTGACTTTTTACATAAATAAAGTTGTAGTTTTTAGGTTTTTTTTTGTAATTTTTTTTTTGTATACCTCATATCACCATATCCCACAGTGGTCATGGTAACCACTGCCCACCAAAATGCATCTGGTATTGACTTGAAGAAGGACATTTCGGCACCGGCTTCCGCAAAATAAACCGCCGATGAGAATAGGACAACACCTGTGTAGCGGCACAGGGCACGGGTACGTTGCCATAAATGGATATTTGTCAGTTAATCAAATCAATGCAATGTACACAATTTTTTTTAAACGGCAAATGAATGAAGGAAATAATTAGTAAAATTGATGTTTTTTTGTGAAACAAGTCAAATAAAATTATAATAATGTTTATATATTATATTTCTAAAACAAAATACGGGGTGAGCCAAAAGAGGTAACTAAGCATAAACTTTAATAATTTTGCTATTTTGTAATGAATTTTTTCCCTGTGCGCTGCTGTGGTATATTATTTAATAGAACTTTTTTTGGCTCACACTGTATTTACCTGTTACACTAAATTTCTGCTTGGAATGTTGTTGTATGTTTTTTTATGTTGGAATTTTTGGTAATTATTTTACTTATTCGGAAAAATTTATTTTTTAAAGAAATTGCCTACTATAAATTCATTTGCTCGTATGTGCCCTATACTTGTTCATTAGCCTCTGCAACGCTCTAGCACAGGCTGATTGAAAGCTACACTTCATTAAGCAGTGATAGTTTATGAGCACAAGTTATTTGGTAGAAAATAAATTGTAGTTAAATCAGTGTGTATATGGTTTAATAAAATGTATGTATATATAAGTAATTAACGCTCTACATGAAACTGAAAGTTTTGTTGTTGAAATTTCAGCCACAAGTTAAATCCAACATTCCTATATTAAATGTAATAAATAAAAAATTAATTAAATATTATATGTAATAATAAACTTTATTTTATCATAATTTTTCTAGCTAAATAAACTACAAAACGAATTGAAAATAAAAAAATTTAAAATTGTTTGTGCACTTATCAACAAAGAACTAATAAATAAGAGCGATATTTGGTTGGATAGAAAGTGGGATAGATAAATTTTTTTGTTGTAGTATATAGAACTTTGTATTTCAAAATAATGTTATTTGGTTTATTTTGAGGTTAACTAAATGTGCAAATTATAGAAAAACTTGAACTAAAATGCTATCGCTAATAGTAGGCATAGTAATTATATCATACAAATAATTTCTATAATTTATACTGAACCTTTTCTCTAGTACTTTTTTCGACTAATATACTGTACGTTTCGCTTTTCTCGCTGAAAAAATAACTAAAAATCTTTATATAATATTTCTCTACAAAAAATAGTATTTTCGCTAACATTTACTTTTCATATACGTATAATAGATGTATATGTATGTACATAGCGTTTGCGATTTTTTAAGTTGCTATAAATAATTATTTTGAGCGTAATATAAAGTATGTTCTTTTATTTTTAATTGTTCGGAGCTATTTGTTTTTCACATTTAAAATATGCATAAAATTTAACTCTTATATATATTTTTAATATATATTTCTATTTTTTGTAACATATATTTAACATTACGCACAAAAACACATTAGCTAAACTCTACAGCATAGGCATTAACTCACGAAATATTTGTGTATTGTTATTATATATTAATTACAGTATGTATGCGAATTTATTATTAACAAAATAATGGAAAAATATAGTGGTGTTAATGAGTGACACAGTTTTGTTCGTACGCTATTAGTTCTTTCTGTCCAAATTGCATGTAATCAGTCGATTATTTTACTACTTACAGAACACCCTGTGTTGCAGCTACGAGACACAATACAGGAAGCTTTATGATTTCTGGTTAGTAGTGCATTTTTGTAGTTGAATAAAAAAATCATTGAAAATGGTAAACTTAAGTATTTCATAATCGAAGAGCACACTTTTGATGCCAGTTTAGCCGAAAAATTGCTCAAATGACTTCAATTTATTTCAGCCATAAACTGAGCTAGATGGTAAGAAGTTTAAGTTTAAAAATTCAGCATTGCGTTCTGGTTCCAACTTCCAACATATTATTACATCCTTCTCATTGCTCTTGTATATATGTACATATATAATATATATACATATAAGATTGGTGCCTCGTAATCGCTGAAGCCATTTTCGACCGATCTCCTTCTCCAATTTGTGGTTTCGTGTCTTGATGTTTTTCCAACAAATGGCGGAACCAATTCTAATATTAAGCCATCTCCGAACGGCTGATGGTTTTATTTTTATGAGAAGCTTTATTTCAAGGCCGAAATACGGAGAGGAAGACATTCCCTGCCGTGGGGTGACCGAAATTAGAAAATTTAGCTTAATTTTTTATTTAAATTAATTTTCTATAATTTTTTGGATGTTGGTAAGTCACCAGGATTTGAGCCCGAGCCTTCCGAATGGCAGTACGTAATGGTAACCACTCGGCTACCAAATCTATGCCGTCCGTCGTCGAAATACGTAGCCTTGTGTATCCATTATTTAAAGACAAGATTTTGGTATTCTACATATGTATTTTGTTATATTATAATAATGGATTTTTTTTCTATTTCCCAAAGGAAATTTGATTTTTATTGTTATCAACAAAATAATAAACGAATTGCGGTTGACCGTTTTGCATCGTTTGGTGAGTGGGAAAAATATTTTCGTAGAGGAGAAAAACT